GGGGGGGGGGGGGGGTCTGTCTTATATTTATCAGTTTCGGCACGGCGATAACGTCGATACTGCAAAAGCAGTACCCGTCGTTGATTCGGCGGTGTGTGCTGGTCGACCCCGTATGTTTTTTCGTGCTGCCCTTGAAGAAGGCGCAGCTGGGGTACCTCTACCCCTGGGAGATCAACCTGGTGGACCCACCTCACGGGAGGGGCAAGGGGCTCTTCGCCCTCATCAGGAGACCCCTCGAGAAACTTTATGACTTCAGGTCTGTCACTCAGGAGACGGCAGGCATTCAAATATCTGTCTGTGGGGGATGCATCGCCGGAAGAAAACCATGGATGGTGTCTCTCTCTCTCTCTCTCTCTGTGTGTGTGTGTGTGTCTGTGTGTGTGTGTGTGTGTGTGTGCAGTCAACTGTTCGTCACGTGGCTGTTGGCCTTCCGTGACCTCAACACGGTGTGGATGTACAGCCGTAACCTGCAAGGTGGGTGAACCAGCCGATCCACCGTGGATGGACGGCCCCCACGGGGGATGGGGATTGTCTCGTTGCTGCGTGTCGTTCAGGTCACGAGTATCTGGATTGTGGTGAGATTCTCCAGCTGCAGGAGCGCATGATGGTGATCCTGTCTGGGCGGGATGTGCTGCTGCCCGCCGCGTCCATCCGCCGATACCTAAGCAGGAAATGCCCCGCCGCAAAAGTCATACACATGGACTGGTGCGTCACGTCAGCACCGCACCAGACAGACGCAACACACAGACCTTCAGGATCTACCATTTGTGTATGTGTGCAGGTTGCCGCACGGTTTACCATTTGTGCTCCCGAGTGTGCTCAAGAAGGTGGCGGTGTTCCTGCAGGCGCCGCCGAGCAAGCCACAGCCACAGCCCCAGCAGCCGCAGGCTACGCGTGACAGCAGCAAGCTCATGATCAAAGACCAAGAGCACTCCGATTGATCAGCGCTGCGACATGCGCATGCGGGCTGAGAGGCAGGGAGAGAGGGAGGGAGGGAGGGAGGGTATTGTGTGTGAGTGCATGCTGGTGGATTGACGAGTGTCACATTCAGCCAGTGCTGTGCTGTGTTGTGTTGTGTCGGTTGGTTTGGGTATCTGAGCGACTGGAGCTGCTCACCTTTTCTGCCTGGCGGGGGGGCCGCCCTCTCGCCACTAATTCTCACCATTTCTTTCCCATCCATCGTATCTCGTATCGTGAATTAGTGCGCCCCTCGATTTGTCATCGTGTGAGTGTGTGGATCGGATTGATGGTTTGGTGAACTGATGACGAGAGCGCCTCCACGCACGCGACTCTCATGGTATGTATGGTGGATGGATCGGTGATATATGCGTGGATACACACGTGCACGTATTCCCGGTGGTCTTTTTAGTTAAAGTTTGTCTGTCTTGCTGGGTGGGACGCTATGTGGTGAGTGAGCGAATGGAGTGGAGACCGACCTATATGCAGCGCCCTTAAATGAAGAAGAAGAACGGTAGAATGCAGGTCGGTCCGTCAGTCACATCACACCTGTCTGTGCCCGTCCATGGATGCCGCCCCCCCTCTCCACTCGCTCACTCTCACCCTCACATCGCTGCATGGCATGCATCCGGAGCCGTATGCTTGGCATCGGCACTCATATGCAGACAGTGAGTGCAGTGAAACCAACAGAGTGTGAAGACTGCTCTCAGCTCTCGGGGGACACACACACACACACGGGCAGGCAGGCAGGCAGACACATACGACACAGAAATACGCACGCACACCCGCCATCCGCACACCATCCCCGTCCGGTAAGAACGTGGAAGCAAGCAGCGCTAAATGCAAAACTCGTTCGCTTGGTCGTGCAGTGACTGAGTGAGTGAGTGGGCAAGATGAGGTGGGGACGAAAAATACCCCTTATTATTGTGTGTGTGGACGTTGAAAGCATCCCTCACTCATCGTTAGCAAAACTTGCCTCATCCGGCTGCCTGCCCCCTGCCCGCCAACCGGCAGATCAGCAGCCGCCTGCATGAGGCTGCAGCATTCTTAAAAGGCAAGGAACAAACTCTCCGAGCAGGCCTTCACTGGCGTGTGGGGGCCAGTCACCCACACGCCAATGAAGGCTACGAGGCCATCCAGCAAGAGACCGACGGACGGACCGGCCGCTGTCTCCCCACGCGCCCTCCTACCTACTAGTGAAAAGAAGTTGCCCGACCCGCCTGTACCTGTCACACAGCTGTCTGTACACATTTCATTCATTGACAAACACACAAACTGTCCCCCTCCCCCCCCTCCCCGCCTCCCCCGGCAAGCAAGGCCAGTGTGTCAAGAAAATCGGACTGATGTCACGATTGGTTCCACCGCCTTGGGTTCCAGAACCTGCAGCACAACACCGAGACAGACAGACAGGCACACACACACGCGTGAGTGAGTGATGGCCATCTCATGCCGTCCATGCTGTGCTGCGTCGTGCTGTTCTGTGTGACTGTGAGTGTGTGTTTACTCGCTCCAGCTTTTGAATGGTACAAATCCTCCGCATGTGGGGCATCTCCTCTCTTTGCCGTTCTGCGTCATGATCAAGCCGCTCCCCGAACACCGACGGCACGCCTGGGAGATACATACATCAAACCACCAGCAGCGGACACAGCCGACCAGTGAGTGACGGTCCTTACGATCCGCGTGTGCGTGTGTGTGTGTGTGTATGTGTGTGTGTGACCCTCTGTGTCTGTATCCGCTTGCTACAAACAGCACACACACCGAAAGCAGAACACTGACAGTCCAGCGGTGCAGCGCCACTGATTGATTGTCTGCCTGCCTCTTGTCTTGCTTCCCTCCGACTCACTTGAACTCGAATGCAGCGATTGTGAAAGGCAGGAAGCCCGCAATGGTGCCGACGAGGGCCTGCTGCTGGTACATCTGCATGTCCACCTCACTCAGCGGCTCCTGCACCCTCTCAGCAATCACCAACAGCGCATCCTCAGGCAGCATAGACACAGCTATCGTTGCATCTTCCCCCGCTGTTGGTGTTGTGATGCGCAGAGGGGATGCCGGGAGGCGTGAAGGCCTGAGGAAGGCCTCGAGCTCTGTCGCGTGAGGCCGGCACTGCACGGCGAGAGGGCCACTGAGGGTCATCAGCAGCGTCCACAGAGAGCCGGAGCTGACAGCGCGGTACACTCGCCGAAGTATCATGGAGGTGCTTCGCGAGGCTACGTACCTAAAGGCCAGTCGACCCCAGCTCGCAAACCCTGAAGACCGAACCCTAGAGGTCCCCGATAACGATTTCACTCGGTATCCATATCACCACTCGCGGTTTGCAAAGCGTAATGTCTGGGATTCAACTCTCTGTTTCTGGCTCTCTGCCTTTCCACCACTGTCCAGGTGAAAGGGCTGTGCGACTCCATGAACATTGACCAGACTCCATTCATCCCATCCCGCATGCAGTGCTTTTTTGGCCATCGACCTTTCTACTTGGTGCTCATGCATCCATCCATCCATCCCCCACCGTCGTATCCATCGCTCCTCACATCTCACATAGTCATCCGATCCATCTCTCTCTCACATGGCTGGATGCACTCCGGCCAAGCCACGAGGTGAAAAAGCACCTCGGTTCACAAGGCCGTCCTGCATCGACCCCCATGCGCCTACGTGTCTGTCAGTCTGTCTGTCCAGCGATCTCTCCCCTCTCTCCTCGCCAGCCACGCGGTGGACGCGCGTCAGTCACACGCAACACGCACAGGCACACACACGAGACACACGGCCCCATACACACGGTAGGTCTATATAAGCCATTCACATAACAACAAAATCGTGACGAGACGATCGATCTGTCAGGTCCATTCATTCGGACACATGACAGCCCTGGCCTGCCTGCCTCCCTGCCTGATGCCATCCGTAGAGCAACAAAAAGACGCTGCCCCCTCTGACCCCATCCATGCCATGCAGTACATATAAACCACGTACGTACTTATATAAGCGAGATACATAGATGGGTAACACCACGCGCACACCCACGTCAGACGAGCATCCATCCAATCGATAAAACACTCGCATCGCGAGCATCGCACGAGCACTCACGCACAGCACACCAGTGCAGTAAGTGGGAGAGAGGGAGCGAGGGAGGAGCCACTACTGTCCCCCCGCGGCATCATGAATGAATGAAGGCCCTCATGAACAGGGCGGTGCGATGATTCTTTCAGTAAGTCAGTCATGATCGCTTCCGCAGCGATGTCCTTCCCGGCACCGATCTGGCGGGCTGCTTGCGCTTGAGCCGTCGGGAGCGGCGCTCGCCGTCGCCGAAGATGGCCTTGGGGATGCGCCCGTGCATCCCCATGTTGTGGTCCACCACCTGCACACACCACTCACACCGACGGTCATGGGTGCGATGGAAGGGCCTCTGTCTGTGTGTCTCTTCAGCTGCATGTGAGTACGAACCTGTGTGACGCCGAAATGGACAGCGCATGACATGATGTTGATGGCCTCACTCTCAGTCAGATTCCACTTGTCCTGAAGACACAGACCAGACACGCCCATCATCGGTTGGCCGAAACGACTTTGCGTGCCCCCCTACCATCATGAAGTCTCGCGTGTTGATGTAGGTGTTGTTCATGGCCATGTTCAGATGGTCGCCGGGAAGATTGAAAATCTTCCTCTGTGCGTCCAGCGGCGAGTCGCCCAGCGTGTAGATGTAGTTGTCGTATGTGAAGCCCGAGATCACCCACTCATCAGGCTTCTCGAAGATCACCGTGTCCGTGTTGGCCAGCTCGGGCGGCTTCTCGCCGTCCTTGATGACGTCGATACGCAAACGTGCCGTCAGGCTGTGTTCGATGGCCGTGCCGGTCAGCTCGGAGTCGCCCTGTGTGCTGTGCGCATCACCTGCAAACATCCATCCAAATCGCTAACGCACTCTGCTTCTTGTGCACATCGGTGGGGAGGTGGCTGGCTGACCAGCAGAGAACAATCCACCCTCGACCTCGGCCTTGAGGTACACGGTTGTGCCCGGCGCAGTCCTCTTCTGATCCAGGTTGTGGCCAAGGTACCCCATGGCAGGTATCGACGTGATCTCGTCGTCGATGGCTGACGCAAGGCCAAGGTTGCCGATATGGGGGTTGAGGGGCACCTTGAAAGGGAAGGGGTCGAGCTGATACTCAATGGGGGTCTCCTCCATGACGGACCATCCCATGTCCTGTGCTGCGCCGCTGCTGTTGGGGTATGTGTGTGGGAAGATGAGGCCGGAGATGTGTGTGTAGCCCAGGAAGTCATCGTGGCCTTGTGGGTCGATGATGTTGGCTATGTTGTAGTAGTACAGGGGAGAGGCGATCCACGTGCCGTTCTCCTGGTAGGCCTCCCTGACCCACACACACAGCACAGACAAGCGATCATGCAGGCAGGCAGGCAGGCATCGAGAGAGAGGTCGTTTGTGTGTGGTTCGGTGTTCACCAGGTGGATGCGAATTCATCAGAGTATCCGCATCCCGTGCGGCCACGGAAGGCGTCTCCCATGCACCAGTCGCTGCCGTCGCGCTTGGGAAGGCGGTATTGATAGCCCCAATTGCCCAATACCACGCTGACACGGAAGACGGCAACACAAGGAAGCACAGATGGCCTCACACGATGGATGACGCAAGTGTGGTTGCTTTTTGTAATTTGCTCACCTTCCGAAGGTCCTGTTGTCTTGACCGGGATTTAGGCGGGGCACCAAGTCCAGTATGTCAACCTACACACACATACACATGCATAACGCCCTCACGGACAAAGCCGCCCACCCACTGTCCCCTCCCACCCCACCTTGCCCCCTGCCCCTTCCATGCATACCTTGACTGTGTCGTTGGGCTCCACGCCGCAAATGAACACGGGGCTGATGGCCACAACCACAACGGAGCGTCGATGTATGGATGAACCGTCAGCTGTTGCGTGTCCCCACCCACCCTGTCATGATGTGAGCGCCCTCGCACGTCGGAGTGCGGTCACCCTCAGTCGACGGCACATTCTCGCAGCGTGCGCCGCGCTTGGACACGGGCATGTCCGTCTGGTTCCACCAGTAGATAGCCTCGGTAGCAGCGTCGCCCATGCTGATCCTGTCCCAGTCGTCCCCTCCGTTAAGCGTGATCGTCTCGATCACAACCTGGTGAATGAACCAACCCACACAGGTACCATCGCGTCACTCTCCATCTCCCTCTCTGTGTGTGTGCGTGTTTGTACCTCGTCGCCGGGATTGACATAGAGAACAGGTGGAATATCCTTGTGGTAATATCCCCAGTGCACGGTCTCTGGGCTGGCGCGGATGATCTTGGGGCCCTCCGGGGCGGGACAGCCGGACGTCGACTCGACAAAGTCTGTCAGCTCGGGCAGCTCTGGCACAGACCAGCCCTTGAGGCCCTCATACGGCGGGAAGATGGCCTTCGGCACCATCGTGTGCACGCCCCAGTTGCCATCGACCACCTGGGTGACAGCGAAGTCGCCAGCGATGGAAATCGCGGTGAGGGCTTCATTGGGCGCGACACCAAACTTGTCCCTGTGAGAGCGTCCATGACACCAAAGTCAGAAGTCTGCGTGCATGTCCTTCCCTGCCCCTCTCTCTGTCTGTCTGTCTGTCTGCCTACACGATGAAGTCTCGTGTCTGCGCAGTGGCGGTCTTCATGGCCGCGTCCACATCCGCTCCCACAGAGAAGATCTCGTCAGGGTCATCAAGCTCCGACAGGTACTCCGGCACGGCGAGGCCGTGCACCACATAGTGGGTGGGCGTCTCGCCAAGAGGGAAGGCCAGGTTGGCCATCCACAGCTCGTGTTCCTCGCTGTTTTGCTGGATGACCGTGATGCGGAACCTGCCCGTGACGCTGATTTCGATTGCGGTGCCGCTGACCTCCCCGTCGCCCTGGGCGGCGTGGGCATCGCCCATCGAGAGCAGACCGCCGGGCACCCGTGCCTTGTAATACATGGTGGTGCCTTGGCCGATGTGGATGCTGTCGATGTTGCCGCCACTGCAGACGAATAAACGAGCAACACACACAGACGATACATCCATCCATTGCGTGCGCATGTGTGTTGGTGTCAGTCAGAGTGCTGACTTTGATCCCATGGGGGGGATGCTGTTGACGACGTCGACCTCAGAGGGCGCCAGACCCATGCCTACATGCGGACGCAGACAGGAGCAGACGAGGGTTGTGTTTATTGGAGGGGGAGGCTGCTCTGCTCACATCCGATGTGGATGTCGAGAGGCACCGATACATCAGTGAGGTCAAAGGTGTAGTTGAGGGAGCCACTGGTCACATTCCAGCCACGCGACGCAACCTGACCAACCAACACACACCAGTGACTGCGTCGCACCCCTCCTGTCCCCTGCCCTGCCCTGCCCTCTGTATCTGCTGACCACATCCGATGCGCCCTCGTATGTGTGCGGCACACAGGTGCCCGGGTAGCTGAGGTAGTCTCGCTCCACCCCGTCAGGATCCACCAGCGTCGGCCACTCGTACATGTACTCGGGCGACGCGTAGTACCCATCTTCCTGCCACACACAACATTCATCAAAAGGAAGAGTGACGCACAGGAATGCAAGCTTGATTGGTTGGCTCGGTGTGTGTGTGTGTACCCCCTCTTCGATCTTCCACACGGTGACGAACTCGTCATTGACACCGGGCGTCTCAATGAACTCCCCGGCCTTGAACATGCCGCCGTCGGCTGTGGGGGCCCTAAACTGATATCCCCACCACGCAGCCTGATTCGACCCGTAGATCTCTCCGGCTGGGTTGGCACGCGGCTCCAAATCGAGAATCTCAACCTGAATTGAGATGAAGAGGAGCGATGGGTGTCTGTCTGTCCGGCCTGTTTGTTGAGATGGCCTGTCTGCATGTCTGTGTACCTTGATGATATCGCCGGCTTCAGCGCCGCACACGTAAATGGGCCCTGTGAGGATGTGGACGCCGTCCCCCTCCCCCGTGGCGCCACGCTGGCTGACAGCCTTGACAGAACTGTCCCAGTCGTAGACGCTCTCCAGCCCCTCGTCCCCGGCTATCATCATGTCATAGTCGTCGCACGCCGTGTGGGTGCCCATCTCGACGGTGACCTCATCGCCCGAGTTGATGAACAGCCTGGGCGGCTCATTCTGATGCACAGAGAGAGTGACGGGTGGCGTGTTTGTGTGGATGCATGGCATGGATGTGCTACATACCTTTGAGAAGTAGCCAAAGACGACTGTTTCGGCGCTGAGGGGGAGGTATTTCTCGCCTTCCGATGCTGCAGGGCATCCATCGACCTGTGCACGGATCTGGCTGACGGACAAGGCCGCCACAAGGGCATATAGCACAAGGCGAGGCAAGGACGCCATCATCCACACTGTTCGACACTAACAAGTCCTGCTAACGTGCTCAAGTCGTCTGTTCGATCTTGCCTCCACCTGCTCGCTTGGCGCGCAGACCGCCGTTCTTGTAAATTTTGCCTTGCCGCTGGTGACCCGTTGTAAATTATTTCACATGTGCGTCTGCCTCAAATGTGCAAGAATCAAATCAGCAGGCGGCCCACACCCTGATGCACAGGGACGACAGATGGATCCATCCACACACATCCACTCAATCACTGCACGACTGCCCCTGCGCACTCCAAACACGACAGACACATCATCAATCACATGATGGATGATGCACACAACACACACGCCATCAAGCGGAAGCGCAGCCCAGTGTGTCCCTCCCAGGTGCGGTGCGGCGTGTTGTCTTCCTTGCCGACACAGCTAGCGATTAGATAGACTTAGAAAGGGAAATGAGACAGTGGCCAATCGATCAACACCGAGGTGGTCAACTCAACCCAGCGTCCCTCCCCGTCCCAACTCCTAATTACTCAGCTGCTTGTCTGTCATCTGGAGGGCGGCCTGCCCATCGGACCGCCCGTTCGGGGCCCAGATGAGGTGCCGCCGTACTGAAACGTATCCATCCCACCGCTGCTGACCCGCCCCAGCCCCATACCTACACCGTAGCTCGACAAGCCTGCCTCATGCGATGGGTGGAGCCCTGTCCCAGTTCCCGTCGGCATGGAGGTCTGGTGTTGGAGGCCGGGGGTGGTCACGTGTGCCTCCTGCTGCTGGGATGGGAGGGACAGGCCCAAACCTGCCGTTGAGTATGGCGCGCGATAGCCGTAGTCTGACCAACCAACACGCACACACACACACGTAGAGGGTGTGTTATGGATGGATCGATGTGGATCCCGTACCTTCGCGGAGTGGTGTGGCGCCGAGTCCGAGTGTGTATGCGTTGTCTGGCATTTGGCTCTGGAGGTTGGCGAGTTCGTTACGGAGGTTCTCCATGCGATACTGGTCGCTGCTCACGCGCTTCAGGAACGAAACTATCACCTCAGATTGACTGCAGGCAGACAGACAGGCAGGCAGGCAGGCAGACAGGCAAGGAGATACATTGACGTGAATGAACGAATGAGGGTGCATATGTTGTGTCTGCCGCACCGAACGAGAAGGTCGGTGTGGTCTTTGCGGATGCTCTTCTCGGTCTCCACCACACGCACACGCTCCTGACACACATGTGCACATCAGTGCAGTGCTTATTTCGGTGTGGTGGCTGTGTGCGCCGCCGTGCCCTCCCTCACCTGTAGTTTGTCGATCTCGGCAGTCTTGGCGACGGCCGACTTCTCCAACTCGTGGATAATCGTCTGCAGCTGAGTGTTCTGGTTCTGATGGACCAAAGTCGATCACACACAGACGAACAGGTGACTGCGCGTGTTGGTCGATCCACGTGAGTGAGTGTGTGTGTGTGTATGTCGCACCTTGAGCTGTTCGACTTGTGCGTCGTGGTTTTGTCTCATGGTGTCGAGGATCTCGTCGTTGCGCCGACGGGCCTCAGTCACTTGCTTCTGGAACTTGCGCTGATCAGAGGAACCAACACACACACACACACAGATGTGGGTGCCAACTGTCCTCTGTGAGAGTGTTGGTACTGACCTCAAGGCCGATGAGCTGTCGTTCGTGTTCAGCCTGTAGAGTGAGAGTGCGCTTCTCGGACTCGGTCTTGCTCAGCTGCAGCAGCGCTGTGTTGATCGTGTCTGTGAGCTGTCTGAGCGAATCGGGGGCCGCCGGCCGGCCGCCAGTCTCATACATCCCTGCAGGCAGGCAAACAGGCCGCCAGCCATAAACGCACGCGCCCTGTGCTGCTGTCCTGTCCGTCTGTGTTGAGGCTAGGCTGGCCCACCTTCCTGGAGTCGCTGTTTGTACTTGTCGATCTCGGTGCGGTTGGACCTCTTCTCGTCGTCGAGCTGAGCCTGGAGCCGGTCAGCCTTGTGGGCCATGTCCTCTGCCTGCCGCCTGGCCTCGTCCAGCTTCTCCTCCAAGTACAACTTCTCCTCAGTCCACCTACACACACACACACACACACACACACGTGTCATACACACACATATCAGCCGGTGTGGGGTTGCTAGGGTCAATGCGATGGTCTTGCTGCTCACTTTCTCCGTTCGTCGTGTACGCTGCCGACGACCTCTTGCCTCTCGTGGTCGAGTGCGCTCTGCGTCGCCTGTGAGATGGACAGATGCAAAACCGCAACACACCACATGTGGGTGTATATTAGTGCGTGTGATAGTGATACCTTGTATTTGGCCTCCAATTCCACGACGCGTTTCTCGAGCTCTAGCTTTTTGTTTTCGAGTACGGTGCGCATGTCCTGGAACACACGGTTGACACTCTCGACCAGCAAATTCATACCGAAACCCATCAGAATCTGCCAGCCAGCCAACCACACACAAGATACATACACACGGAGAGAGAGAGGGCGGTGCTGTCATCCAGCCAGCCATCCATCCATCCATTCAGTTGGTAGTGCTGGTGTCTGAGGCTGCTTGCCTGTGCGCTGGAGGGTCCCTTGGCTTTCTGCTGGAACTGTTGGTGAATGGCCTGCCAGTCCTTGAGGAGTTCGTCCAGCTGCCGGTACGCCTTGGTCGCCAACTTCTCGTATATCGTCTTGTTGTACGACTCGCGGATGAGCTGACACATTGTCAGTCAGTCAACCACCACACATACATGAAGGCACATGTTATGTGTGTGTCGTGGATGGATGTGACTCTCCTGACTGACTGACCTGTTCAGCCTGTCGTTTGCTGAGTGAGACGTTTTCGCTTTCGACTTGCTCGAACATGGCCCCGATCTTGTCTGAGAACTCCTTCCGGAAACCCTTGTACCTGCACACACAAACAGCAAAGGAAGCAAAAGATGGGCCGTGCTGTGCTGTGCTGAAAGGACGCAGTTGGCGACATACGGACGAACCTCATGTCGTTTTCATCGAAGTTGTGTGATTCGAAGACCTTGAGCGCCGCCTTCTTGCTCTCCTTGTGCAGCGCACGGAGGTCCTTGAAGTCCATCGGCAAATGCTGCATCGCCTGTGCAGCAAACATCAAGGCAAGGCCACATACGTACGCATCATTAGACACCTACCTACCTACCCTGTGGATGATGTCTGTCTGTCTGTCTGCATCCTTTCTTTGTGTGTCGCCTCGCGTCGCCTACCTTGTCGTTCATGAGCTGCCTGTAGGTGTGCTGGGCGTCCTTCAGACACTTGCGCAGCTGACCGTGCATCACACTCTGGCAGCATCCATCACAGACAGACACGCAGGCAGGCAGGCAGTCAACGGACACATGTCAATCAATCTCCCTGGGTCCGGCTGCCGCTCACCTGCCATGCGGTTGAGATGGTGGGCACGGCTGATTCGTTGAGCGCCTTGACGTACTCCTGCGCGAGCTGTGCGAGCATGGGGCCGCTCACAGGCACTCCACCGATGCTCTTGGGCTTGATGTTGGCGTACACCTTGTGCACAAACGCCTCAACCTAGTCGATCAATGCAATGCATCCATCCATCCTATGCCATGCGATCGATCCATTTCTTTCGACAGACAAAGACATACAGCCTCGTGCGTGACGTGACGTACCTGCTGTTTGAACTGTGGTCTGAGTCTGTCGTATGGCACCCTCTGTATCTCCCGGAGGTCCTTCTCGTCAGCCACGGGCCGAACCAACGTCATGCAGTCACGATCCCTGCACACACATATCCATCCATCCATCCACACCGATCTGCCACAACGCCTTCTCGCCACCCACCCACCTGAAGAGGTTCTTGATCATGGATCGAATTCTGTTCTTCTCGACGATCTCCTCACTGTCGCCGGCCTGTGGCTGCAGTGCGTTCTCGAGGTAGTCCCGCGATGTGATGGCCTTGTTGGTGCTGGGGTCGATCAACTGAAGCGCGAAGTCACGCAACACCCACAGAAACGACGGAAACACAGTCGCCAGATCAGCTATCTCAGCGTCGGGGCTCTTGGGCCTGTTTGAGCGGGGAGGGAGAGAGGCAGGCAGGCAGAGTTTGGTTGGTGTGTGGTTCGTTCGTTCGTTCCTTCGACTCTCTCTGACCTTGACTTGACGTGTATATGTTTCGTCAGCTGCAGCACCAGTGCCAGCGAGTCCAACGCCTGCACACACACACATGCATTGCAAGGATGAACGACACCGCCGCAGCAAGGGTGGGGTGTGGGTGTGGTCTCCTCTCCGCAATGATTGACTGACTACTGACCGACCGTCTCGTCGATGGCCTTCATGGAGTTGTAGATGAAGTATGATGCGAGGAGGAGCGAGAGGCATATGATCTGCATGTCGATGCTCTGCGTGCGGTGGAAGGAGCCCAGCCCTTCGGTGTCGAGGAAGATGCAGTGGAAGTTGGGCGCCACCTGCACCGGCTGACCCCACATCCATATACCCTATATGACACACACACACACACACAGACAACACAATCCATACCGACACACACCATGCCAGGCACCTACCCAGCTACCTACCTTAGTGCATGGGTTGGTGGAGGGTCCGATCTCGAAGCCCTGCTGCAGCCCCAGTAGTCTGTTGAGGAGGTAGCTCTTGCCGGTGCGGTAGAGCCCTGCGATGGTGACCACCCCGAGCTTGCCCTCTATCTGGTTGAGGATCTCCACGGCATATGGGTTCAGCTTGCACTTGCCGTGGTCGTCGATGTCTATCAGCGTCACAGGCCCGTTGTGGTAGTGACTCTTCTCATCCGGCTTGTGGGGGGGCGGCGGAGGGCCCTGCGGGGAACGGCTGCGAGGCTGCGCCGGAGCCTGGGGGGGACGGCCCTCGCCGGGTGGTGAGGACCCTGCCCACATGCCAAACGGCAATCAAATGACAGGGTCGAGTGGTCCCGAACGGCGTGCCGAAGGGCAAAAGAGTTGCGGAGAGTCCCCTTTTGGTCCCTGGCGAGCAGCAACGCAGGCGGCCACAACGATGACGAAGATGCAATTGGTCCAGGTTCGTCAAGGCTGTGTCGTCCGAGGAGTACTTGCCCTCCACACCTCCTCCCTCCCTTCCCTCTCTGCAAGCTTAGCTGCAGACGGAATCAAGCGCGCAACTGCGGCGAATGGTTGCTTGGCACCCTGGGCTGGCGCCAGCCGTCGGCGAATGAATGCTGTCACTGTTCCCGTGCTGCTTTCGAGAAAACGGCTTAGCCTCTCTTGACGAGGGGGAAATTCAGGTGCCAACAAACAAACAAACAAACACAGCTTGAAGGTGCAGCCAGTCACAGGGAGGTGGATGGGATGGCTGTGTGTGTCGTCTGCCTGTTTGTGTGTGTGACACACAGATATCTGAGGGAGGCGAGGTCCGCGAGGGCAAAACAGTCTTCAGAGGCCGACCTTCTCAGCGGCAACAACAAGATCGTCAGAGGCCACGTTCGCTCTTCTCCGGCCTCGCTCCCCCCGTGCCATTTCTCCTGATGGGCAACGGAGGCAGCGCAACCGCCCAGCCATCTCGGGCCCCCTCAGTGGCGCCAAACCAGGACGAGCCAGAGGAGATGTCGTCAGCGCCCACCCAAGTGGACCCTCAGATCAACGTCAGCGGCCGCCTCTCCTTCGCGCAGAAGGGCCTCCCGCACTATGGCGTGGTCGTCATTGTGCTTCGTTCATCTCCCGACAGCAGGCGCCCTGACCCTGTTCGCGTCAAGCTGCAGCAGAGTTTCCTGCAGATCTTGAAGGACAACCGGCGGCTGACGTGCCGGCTGGTCAAGCCACGGGGCGGGTACCAGTCGGCAGGCCTGCTGGTGGTGGCGGTTGGGGCCGTCGAGGACGCACTGCCCCCAATGGCGGAGGAGCAGGAGGTGGTCAAGCAGACGCTCACGGGCAAGTGGACCACCTTCAAGAAACACCTTATGCCGCTCCTCAAGAACGGGTGGGTGAGAGGGGGAAGGCGGCGCTGCAGACACAGTGACGGGAGCGTGGAGGCCTGTCTGTCTGTCTGTTTTGCCTGCTCAGTGACGATCTGCCGAGGCTGTTCACCCCTGCTGAGACCGTCGAGCTGGTCCGCCGTGAGCTCTACGCCATGAGATACTCACACGATGCGCCGTATCAGAGCTTCGCCGTAGGCAAATACCGCGCACCACCGACTGTTGCATTACCCCGATGTATCGGTTATTTATCCTTCAGGGTTTGCGTGTGATGGACGTGTGTCACCAAGCGGGCGCCATAGAGGCGGACGACGTGTTCCCTGTCCACCGCCGGGAGATCCTCGCGGACGTGGCCGCTAACTGGAGGATAGCCAGACAACCACTCAAGAAAGTGGTGAGAGCCAAACTCACTGACACTGACACAGACAGATGCATGTCCGCTGGATCGATGTGTGGATGGATCGACAGGTGCACTACTTCGGTTTCCCGATGGGTTACTACTTCGCCTTCCTCAACGTCTACAGCAACTGGCTCATCTACCCAGCCGCTCTAGGCATCATATTCTTCCTGGCTGATCTCATCATGCCGCACCTCATGCCCTGGGCTGTCGGCCCCGAAAAGCAGACGCCCACCGGGCCCATCTTCGCCATCATCATGGCCCTCTGGAGCTCAGTGTTTGTCGAAAGCTGGAAGCGACAGGTGCGGTGCGATGCCATGCGGCTGCGGCAGCACCCATTTGACATCGCACTGAGTGAGCCCTCTGTCTGTCTTGTGCCTATGTGGTGCAGATCAACACGTACAGGTTCCGGTGGGGCGCTTGGCGGGGCTTCTGGCACTCGAGGGAGAAGTCGGGGTCGGCAGACTGGCCCGCACACTTCAGACTGCTCAGGTTGGTCTGACTAACTGACACGACAGAACCAAGCACAGGGGTGATGCACCTCACTCATTCCTGGTCTCATCTTCCTTCTCGGCCTCACATCACACACTCAGGGACATGCGGATCCACCCCGCCGAGGACCGTGAGCTGCTGAACCACCCCAAGTTCCATTTCCTGTTCCAGGTGCGGGAGCAGACCGAGAGGGCCCAGGCAGCTATCACAGGCATCGCGCGGAGCATGACGGGCACCACGGAGCTGTTCAGCCACCAGCGGCAGAGACGTCGCACATCTGGGAGCCGCATTCACCTCACTGCAGCTGCCGAAGGGGTCTACTGGAAGTGAGTGGGGATGGGATGGGATGGCTGGAGGGGAAGGGAGAGCACCTCACCTCACCTGGCTGACTTGGTTGATTCGTTGGTGCGTTTAGGCACTTGGGCATCTTGCTGGCCGTCCTCCTGATCATGGCGTCCACGGGCTTCACCGTATTCTGCTTGCTGGAGCTGCAGGAATGGGTCAAGTAAGTCGTGACAGACAAAGAAAGAACGACACACCGACGGACTCTGATGTGAGTGACATGACATCCACTGTGTACGTCTTGTGTTGTCGTGGTCACGTCACAGCAAGAAGACCTCCAACGGTCTGTTGACCCTCTTCCCGACTGTGCTCTATGTCATGCTGGCCATCGTCCTGCAGGTCAGCCAGCTCACAACACGAACCCACACACACCATCTGCAGCCTTTCCCCCCTGCTCTGCTTGTGTGCCTTGTGTTGTGTGCCCTCAGAGCTTCTACACTCAAGCTGCCTCATTCCTGACCAGCCTGGAGGGCCACCGCACGATCTCTCAGTACCAGTCTTCGTTCGTGGTCAAGAACGCCCTGTTTCAACTGCTCAACTTCCTGGGCTACTACATCTACCTGGCCTTCGCCGCCAAGAACCTCAAAGAACTCTCCACACAACTATACGTCTTCTTCATCGTCAAACAGGTCGGTCAACCAGCCGACCAAAGCCACCCAGGCGAGGCGTGCCACACGCACACACAAGTTGTGTGCGTCGTGCCTGCAGGTGTTTTTGAATCTGATGGAGCTGGTGCGGCCGTCGGTGCAGTCGATGCTGCGCAGTGAGGCGACCTCCCCCGCCCTCGACCTCAATAACCCTCGGCGCGAGCCCCTCTATGGCCGCATTATGAAGGAGGCATCACTCGCGCCATCCAACGAGTCCGACGAGTACCTGGAGCTGGCGGTGCAGTTCGGCGTAACGGCCATGTTCTCAGCGGTGTTCCCCCTAGCCCCTCTGTTTGGCCTCGTCAACAACCTGCAGGAGATCAGAAGCGACTCATTCAAGGTGGGCTGGGGTGGGTGGGTGGGTGGAGGGCAGCCAAGGGGATGTATGGGCGTGGCCTCACTAGTGTCTTCGCTGCACTGCTCTGCATGGCCGGTGTGGTGTGTGCTGTGCTGTGCTGCAGGCTTGTCGGTTGAGTCGGCGTCCATTCCCGTCGAGTGAGAGTGTCTATCAGAGCTGGGTGGCCGTCTACGAGGGGCTTTCCATTGTCGGCGTCGTCTCCAACTGCGCACTGCTCGGTCGGCACACGCACACACACACAGACACACACGGCTTGGCTTGCTTGGCCGTGTCGCGCTCACTCTACCTATCCTGTCATGGATATGTCTGTGTGTGCAGGCATCCTGCAGGGCTGGTCGTTCGGCACCATCCTGATAATCGAGCACCTGCTGCTGTTCTTCAAGGCATACCTCGCATGGTCAATCCCCGACGTGCCCGAAGAGGTTCAGCAGGGCATGATCGAAAGCGACCTTCTGTCTACCCAGCTGGCAGCCGGCAGCCGGGCCCCATCCCTCCGCACCCCCTCCCCACACACATCCTCCCCCCTCCCCCAGGTGCCCGAGCAGCCATCCCCCGCCGCCCTGCGCTTCCCCCCCTCTCGCTCGGTCCGCCCCAGCCTGGCAGTGTGCTCTTCGTTGGGCGAGCTAGACACTGTCGACGACATGGCCCTTGAGACGCCATTCTCTGAAGAGGACTTCGAGCCCTATGAGATATTCGAGAGGGAGTGCTACAGCTTCGGCATGGCGGGCAGGGCCGCCGAGGGGGCCGCGGGGGCGGCGGCGCTCTCTGGGAGGGTGCTCATCGACTATGAGGCGATCTTCATGTTGGAGGGGTCGTGGAGGCTGCTGCGGGATGTGTCGGACAGCATGGAGCCCATCATGGCTTTCTTCGGGGTCCCCTGGGTCAAGCGAATGGTGAGTGAGTGGCCCCACCAAACACACACACACACGTGTGACAAAGCGTCTGTCTGGTGTTGTGTTCTTATCCTGAAGGCGATGCATCGCGCGACGCCCACTTGCATCATTACCCTCGGCATTGAGAGCGACGCCCCCTCGGGCTCTCTCATGCCAGACATCGCGTCACTGCACGTCGTCGCGAAACTGCCTCTCGGGATCACAAAGGTGCGTCAAGACGCGCACAGACCCTGAAAACTGTCACGATACTCATCGATCACGTCTATGTCACCCACCAGACGAATGAGGTCCCTCTGGACGGCAGGGAGACGGAGCACTTTGACGAAGACAGTGGTTTGTGGAAGACCACCGCATGGATCGATCGCAACCGTATTGTCGTCAAACGGGTCCATCAGACGAGGGAGGCCACCCTCGTCGAAACCAGACAAGTGAGTCAGTCAAGGGAGGGAAACACACCGCATCGATGCAGTCACAGACGTCTCGATGGATGTCTTCCTCTCTGTCTGCAGTTGTTCGACCCGTCTTCTCGGCGAGGCTCGCTTGGCTGGCCCGCTGGCAATGAGATGGTGCTGCGGTACCAGTTCCACCTGACGAGCAGCTCCCCCCAGCTCGTCGACCTCACCATCAACCGCTACTTCGTGCAGGAGGCCCCCTCCGCCATCGACCGGTCCGCACTCCTCAGGCGGTTGCCGTCCAACTACAGCGACTCCGGCAGGCTGTCGCTCTACCGTGATGTGGCGTCGTCCATCAAGCCCTCCCAGCTGCTCTACGGCACACCCGCGTCGGCCATGCCCGACAGCATCAGGTCGGTGGGCGTGCGTGAGCCGGTGGAGATGATGGACGAGGAGGAGCCCAAGCCGTCGGCCGAGGAGCTGGAAGAGATGGAGCGGTACACCATCGAGGGCAGGAAGGCCTGTGAGGCCCTATATGACATGGCGAGGTCCGACGGCTGGAAGGAGGCCGGCAGGAAGGACGGCGCAAAGGTGAGAGAGAGAGAGAGAGAGGGGAGCAGAAGAGCATCCATTCCATTCCATCACCGCCCATCCCACCGATATATGTGATGTCATTCATGTGTGTCAGCTGTACCGGAAAGACATCCCCAACATGCCGATGATGGGTCGGGGAACGATAGAGTTCCAGGAGGAGATACCGGTGCAGACGGTGTTCGACTACATATGGGACCCAGACACCAAACCCGAGTACGATCCCATGCTCGACGCGGGCTTCAGCCTGCACGTCTACCCAAACGAACTGGGAATCATGTACCAGGTCAGTCAGTGAGTGAGATACATACAAGGGGAGATAGATAGGCAGGCAGGCAGGCCATCCAACCAACAATCGCCTTGTATGTGTTGCGGTGACTGACAACTGGGGTTGCGTCTTGCAGGCCTTCCGTGGTCAGTATGGTGTGCCGGGTCGCGACTTCATTGTCATGGCCTGGAAGGAATCGGTGCGCCGCACTCACGGGCATACAGAGCGCACGACAATGGTCGCCCTCTGTGCGTTTGTGCTTGGCCATTGCAGTTTGGCGAGGATCACATGATTCTGGGCTTCAAGTCGATCGACTGGCCGGATGACGACCGCATGTCAAAGAAACACGTCAGGGGCAAATGCATCGTAAGCCATCACCCACACCCACACACACTCCCCCCCCCACACACACAGACACACACATAGACAGGGCAGCTGGTAGCTAGCGAGGGGACTAACCGTACGCTTAACGCAAGTGGTGACCCGGGAGGTTGACTGGTCTCCTCCCCCAGTAGCTGCGCATTTCGTGGAGCGGCACACACGCCCTCGCCATACCGATGAATGCTCTCAGAGAGTTAGTCTCGTTCTTCAATGGTCTCTGTTGGGCTGCGTGTCGGGCGAGGGCCCTCAGGGCCTCTCCTCGCCTCGCCGTCGATGAGACCGTGGGGAGGAGATGACATTGTTTTTGATACACTGCATATGAACACACGCTCTTTGCATGATGATCGGTATTATGGCTTCCTTGATAGCTGTTTCTTTGTTGCTGTGTTGGTGTGTGCCCTTATGTGTGCAGCTTGGTGGCTTCGAGGTGCGTCGTCTCGAGAACGGTCATGTGGAGCTCTCATACTTCAACCAGGTAGGTCAGCCACATAACTAACGTCGCTTTGGGACCACTTGTGTGTGTGTGGCGTGTCAGGCTGATCTGTGCGGCAACATCTCCGAGTGGCTGGTGACGCAGGCCAAGCTGGATCAGCTCAAGATCGTGACCAATGTCAAGAGGCAGCTCATAAAGAAGACGGCATGAGACAAACGCAGGCAGGCCAGCCATAGACAGAGACAGGCAAGACAGGGCAAGGCAGTGCAAGGCAAGGCAAGACAAGACCAGTAGGGTAGGCTAGGTAATTGCAGGTCAATCGATATGGGATCATTGGCACTTCTCCCGTCCCATTGTGCTCTTCGCTCGCATGGAGGCAACGGCCCCGTGTGTCCATCCGTCCGTCCCTTCGTCGGTCGGTCGGTCGGTCTGTCTGTCTGACTATCTGTCTGAGTCAGTTATGGTGGCTTTGTTGGCCTTAATTGCTCGTGTGTGGTCCTGTCCTCTGAAGTGTCTGTCTGTCTGTCTGTGTTGGGAGGAGGGGCTGGCAGCTCAGCTGGCTCTGACGTGACTTTGTGTGTGTTTGGACTTGTGGGATCTCATCCTGTGTCCTCTTCACCTTGATCACATCGCCTCCTGTGTGAAGGCTGCCCCTCGCTGGCCTCGTTTCATGGTCAGCTGTTCTGGCAAGTTCTGTCTCGTTTGTTGCTGTCCAAGAGCATTGAGACAGCCGGATGGACGAAAGCCGTGACTGCGTCACGCACACACCGCAACACACACACGCATCCACCCACCCACCCGCCACGCAAAGGCACGGCACAGCACGGCACAGCGCGGCCTGCCTGCCTGCCTCAATGTGCGATAGACTCACTCAGCTGCGATCGTCCGTCCAACCAACCAATCGACCAAGGCACAGTGATGAGCAATCGACACACCGACCACCGACCAAATGACACAAAACGCACCACACCGACAGACCTACTGGCTAGTCTAGTTTATTCACAGGCAATGGATGTCTCGTCAGGGTAGCCCGTCTTCAGAATGCGGTAATCAGCACAGCCTACACACACCACACACAAACCCCCAAACCCCCCACACACGCACACGTGATGTCTCGGTCTCTCTGTGGCTCAACCACTGTCTGTGTCTGTCGGTCTGTGTTGTGTTGTGTGTGTTGGTTACAGTCTGGTTTAGGTCCTATCCACTTGCCGTCGTTGCACATATGAAAGAACACCGTCCCCGTCTTATTGGTCGGCCTTGGCGCGTCGCTGGCCGGCGGCTCGCTGAAGTGCCGCAGCACACGCGGGCCCACAGACCTCTGCGGATCCAGACACTCGATAGCCACAAAGGTCCCCTCGCCGTACAGACGCTTCTCAGCGCGAGACTTCTCGCACCGGTCACCAGCAAGGTCGTTCTTCGGCCGCCAGCAGTTGGCTGCGTCGCAGCAGCCCGGCCCCCACATCGAGTAGGTCCGCGCGCGAGGCACCAGCTGGTCTTCTGCTCGGCAGAGTTTTGGCGCGAGGCCTAATGGCTCGCCCTGGGGAGTGCTGATGTTGAGGGGCTTCAGAGCCATCTGCTCCCGCCGCAGCGACACACGGGCGTTGAAGTCTCTGTCCGGCTCGAGGAGATCGAAGACGCCCTCGCCTGTGGCCTTGTGCGTGTAATCCCGCCTTCTGGCGGCCGTGTTGCGTTGCCGTCGTTTCTCGAGCAGCAGTTGTCTGGCCTGTTTGGCCTCCTGCTTCATCTGGTACTCCTCCAGCCCTTCACGAATGTCGGCTTCCTCCTCGGCCGTCTGGCTCAGCTGCAGCAGCAGAGTGCCCTCGGTCATGACCTCGCTCTCCCCCCCACCCCCGCCCCCGCCCCCTGAGACAGCCTCCTCCAGCTGTCTTTGTTGCTCGGGCGCGATGTCCTCGATGCGGCCGGCCTGGTCGTTGCAGCGCTTGGTGCGGAGGAAGCCAGCTTTTCTTGGGTCGTCGGTGTCGACGGGCTCGACCCACCAGAAGAGGTAGTGGTCGTTGTCGAGCTCCAGACGAGCGGGGTCCCAGGAGCCCACACACCCCACTGTTTGGCGAAAGGAAGGGCAGATCCGGACACACTTAAATAGATGTGTAGATCTGACTCTTTCCTCACTGTCCGTGTGTTTCTGTAGTTCTGTGTGTCTGTGTGGCTGATAGACCTACCTGCACATCTGAATGGCAGTGGGTTTGGCGCCCACTTTCCGTCGGAGCACACGACTCGTGTGACGCGTGGCTTCTCGTTGTATCCCTCATTCAGCCGCATGACGCCAGCCCAGTCCCGCGGCCACGCTGCCACAGGCGCGAACTGAGCCCGCGTGTCGCACGTCACCAAATGCAGAGTCCCAGGCTGATATACCAATGCATATAATGACACAAGACATGACCTTGCATCATACCATCTTTATAGGCCTCTCTGTGTTGTGTGTGTGTGTCTGCCGGACTGACTCTGCGAATGGCGGCCTTGACTTGTCCTTGCGTCTGTGGTGCTCGTGTGACGGTGGTGCCGTTGGGGAAGGTGGCGGGCAGCTGGCTGGGGACGAGCGTCTTGGCGATCTTGTACGGCGACGCACCGCTGTTGCACTTCTCCCTGGCCTCGGCCTGGTTGCCCCTGGTGGTCTGGCTGACGTGGTACTCCACACACAAATTGTACAATATGTTGTCATACCCCTCGTCACACGGCACTGATGGCACACACACACATAGACACACAGACACACACACACACACACAAGAGACAGACGAGAGGTCGTGGGTGTGTTATGTGCCTTTCGTTGTGTTTATGTCTGTGTGTGTGTACTTTGGCATTTGAGAGCAGGCCTGGACCATCGACCGTCGAGGCACTCCACTTGGTCGAAGACCACACCGCCGTCAGTCGCGCGACCAGGGGAAAAGAGCGGCTCATACGGTCTAAACGCACACATACAACACCCAATACCCCACCGTCGTTGTGTCCGCTCCGTCCACTTTGAATGAGCTCATTCATTTCACTCACTCACTCTTTGCATGTGATGTATCTCATGGTTCCTGGCGGCAGTGGCTTGGCAGTCTGTGTGATGCCCTGTGCGCCGATGGGTGTGAGGGAGATCAGGTCCTTGAGCTCGGTGTCGCGGTACACCTTGTAGCGCTCCTCCCCGCCGCCAGCGCCCTCCTGCGGCCCGCGGTACTCCGAGCACATCCCTGACCAGTCGAATCGACACACACAGAGAAGGGGGTGTGCTGTGCCGTGGTGTCTCCCTCCCTCCGTCCCTCCCTCCCTCCCTCCCTCCCTCTGTGTGTTGAGCGTTGTGTGGCTCACTCACTTTTGCATATGATGACTTTGCTGGTCCATCTGCCGTTGTCGCAGTAGACACGGTCCTTGCCCGGCAATACCTTCTGACCCGTCTCTGTCACCAACTCATCCTACACAGACACACATCACAGAGGTCCCCCGGTGACCCATCCCATTCATCAGAGACATACAGACAGACAGAGATGCATCGCAGTCAGCCATATATCCCACCGCACCCACCGGCATGTGGTTGGGTCCACAGTCGAGTATTCTCTCGGCGCCAGGGAAAAGCCCCCACTTGGTCTTGTTGTCTGGGAGAGCCGCACCCTCCTCGGCCTCCCTGAGGCTCATCTCCTCGTCGTCAGACTTGGCCTGCAAATCGTTGGGCTCCACCAAATAACCCGTGGCCACCTTGTAACCTGTCTCATTCTGGTACGCCGGACAACGAGCTGTTGTGGATACACAGAGACACACATGGAGAGACTTGTGGAATCTCTCGTTCCCTCTGTCTCCCCTTCTATTCTATCTATGTGTGTGCGTAGGTACGTTGGCAGTTGAGTACGAGAGCCTGCCACTTGCCGTCTTCGCACTGCACCTCCTCCTGGTTGTCGAGTGGGTTCTCGCGGTTGAAGAAGCCCGAGGCCGTCCGGCACTTGACCAGGCGACGCGCACCGTGCTTGGTCGAGTTGTGCTCCGCCGACACCTCATAGCGCTCCTCAGGGGCAGGGAACAATCCACATTTCTCTGAAAGATGCATGGCATACAATGCAGAGCACAAACACACAACAAACAAGGCCTCGCCTCGGTGAAGAAGGGAGAGAGAGGACGTTGATTGGATTTCTCCTGTGTACTGTAGCATTTGAGGTTGATGTTAGAGAATTTCCCCCTGTGACAAGCGACCACGGTTGTGTGCACGTTGACCCCCTGTGGCGTAGAGTATCCGTTGGCCACGTGGCAGCCCACAGTGCGCGACTCCCCCGGCATGACCCAGCCCTCCTTGCTGCTGCCCCCCTCGGTGATCTCTCCCATGGCCGCCTCCTCCTCCTCTGTCGTGTTGCTCGTCGGCATGGCGCCCTTCTTCAGAAACACGTAGCCCATAGCCAATCTCACCTCAGGACATGTGCCTGCGAAAGAGAGAGAGACAAAGAGAGAGAGAGAGAGAGGGGGATTGCATGTCCGTCGCACTTGTGGTTTTCCATGGGCGCTGGGCTGCTGGGATGCGTAGCGTACGTACGTTCGCATTTGAGTGAGATCATTGTCCACCTGCCGTCGTTGCACTCAGTGTAGTCAGGGTTGGGCCCCGACACGTTGTAGAAGGCCGTGTCGTTGGTGCGCAGACACGAGACGGTCTTCTGGCTGCCGTGCGTCACCATCCCGCCTGGCGGATCCACCATGTAATCCAACGCTTGCAAGTCCAACACCGGACAGTTCTCTGATATATACACCAATCGAGGCGCAGGAAGATGGAGGGAGGCGATTGGGTGCATTGCATGAGATGAGGACCACTCCACTCCACTCCACTCCACTCACTTGTACATTTGAGGTTCAACGGTGTCCACTTCTTGTTGATGCAGAAGATCGGGTAATCCCCCAGGGCCGGGTCGGCCGTGTAGCCCTCACTGCAGCCATACGCGCGGTAGCTGCCCTCCGCCAGCCGGCTGTGCTGCCCATCAATAATCGCCAAGCCGTGTTCTGGCTTAGGAGGCGCCGGGCACTTGTCTGTACGAATGAATGAGAGTGCCGCAGGAGCAAACAAGTGGTGTCTTTCATTCTCTGCTGCCACACCTTTGCACACGAGAGAGTGGAAGGTCCAGTAGCCCTTCCTGCAGGAGAGCGTCTCCTCGGTGCGGTTGATGCGCCAAGAGACCTCGTAGCCCGCCGCGCATCGGACGGTCCGCTTGGCACCGGCGTATACGCCGTTGTCGTATTTTTCCACGACGTACTCGTCGGGGAGCGTGCCGAACTGCTGACAATTGGCTGTATTGCGTGCAGAACACACATGAGAGCAGACAATGTGCTTTTTGTGTGTGTGGGGGGGGGAAGGGGGGTGTTAGTGTACATTGGCAGTCGAGGTAGGCGTGGCTTCAGGTGCCGTTGATGCACTTGGTCTCGGCGATGAACTTGGGCCCATGCGCAGCGTCCGAGAAGCCGCCCACACAGTGCACATCGAGGATCGTCCCGTGGTGGAACTCGCGACCAGCAGCCGTCTTGTTGCCCCCTCTGTGGTCATGCTCTCGCCCGCCATGCTTGCCGCCCTTCACCTGCCCTTTGCCACCCTTAGTGCCCGACGTGGGATCGGTGGGGTGTTTGCCGCCTCGCACCTCTCCTCCTGGTCCTGGTGGCTGCTGC